AGGAGCCAAGCTACTCTTTCAGAACTACTCGGAAATCTCAATTAAATATCCGATTTGGTTGGCTTGAGAGTTTTATCTTCCACAAAACCCTAGAACACAGTTCAGCAAGGTTCTCTGCCACTTTATAACAAGGATCACTTTCCTCTAGTTTCTAGTGACGCGTACCTCGTTTCTGTCTGACCCCTGACCACAAATTGCTCTAGCATCCATATTTTTATTAGCATGTACCTCTCAACAATTCCGGCTTCTACCCATGACCCAGTTCCAAAGCTGCTTCTACATATTTAGGTATTTGTTATAGCAGCACCCCACTTCAGTACTAAAATCTATATTATTTGGGGTTCTCCAGAGAAATGGAACCAACAAGGGATAAATATATAACAGAGACAGATAGACAGACAGACAGACACGAGGGAGGAAGGGAGATTATAAGGAACTGGCTCATGAGATAATGGAGGCTGAGCAGTCCCAACATCAGAGAGCCAGCACGGCTGGGTTCCTGGTTTGCAGACACACACCTTCTTGCTATGTGCTCACATGGCCTTTCCTTGATACTTGTGTGTGTGTGTGTGTGTGCGCGCGCGCGCACGCACACGTGCGCAGAGATCTCTCCCTCTGCCTTTTCTTATGAGGCCATCTATCCTATTGGATTAGGGGCCCACCCTTAAGACCTCATTTAACCTTAATCACCTCCTAAAAGCCCTGTCTCCAAATACAGCTTCACTGCGGGTTAGGGCTTTAACATGTGAATGGGGTGGGGGGGCACAATTCAGTCCATAGCAAGCTCTGAGTAAAAATATCTTTTGAAAAATTGTGGATTTTTTTTTTGCTAAAAAAATTATTGGGACTCATGCTACCTGCCATAAAAATATACCCTGGTGATTAGGAGGAGGACACCTGTTATGTGCTTGGGGAACCCTTACAACAGCGGGTCACGAACTTCAGACCGCAACAGTGGCCTGGGCACCCACCAGGCTGCAGATCCCTAAGGCCTCACCCCAGCTCTGCTGAATCCACGTGAGGGGCAGGAGCCGAGCATCCTAGGTGACCCGCAGGGAGGTGGCCCAATGAGAACGCCTGGCTCCCCAACATCAGGAACCCTTCCCTCCTCTGGGTCACTTTACGTACACCGTGCAGTTGGCCATTCGTCCTGTCCTGTCTTGTGACAAGTCTTCTGTTTCTGACTTGAGGTATTTAAATCTTGACTTTTTTTTATTGAAGTTTTCAAATGTTAAGCTGTCTTATCACCCAAAGCAGGTTATAAACTCCTTGAGAGCAGAGACGCCTGGCACTGCTTCATGACCACAGGAAGCTCAAGCACCGTGCACAAAGCAGGCATCGAATACACACTGTTGATTTGCTTTGCTTCACGTTTTCACTCTTTTAATTACAAAAATAAAACATCTCACTCCCCAGGAGTGTCGGCAGTTGAGCCAGTCTGTGTTTGGTGTGAGCTGATAATGTGAACACTAAGGAGAAGCAGGTGCTGGCGCGGTCAGGCCGGGCTCCCTGCGGTTCAGGCCTGGGGGTGGGGGGAGCGGTGGGGTGAAGCGTGCTTAGCCCCATGGCCACCCTATGTGCTGCGTCTGCCCTGCTTTCCAGTGGGAAATGTGTCACCCAGGGGGAAAGAAGCAAGCTCTTCACCTAAGACCCCTTCAACACCTGATGTGCGTGCAAGTCTCATAAATCTGTGTACATGGGGGGAAGCTCAGAGAGAGGATGTTAGGCAAGAAGGCATGATGAGCACTTGGGTTCAGGACCTTTCTGCTCCCCTCCTTCAGCCGTTTCTAATCACCTCGGGCTCCTTTCTTCTTCCCCTAAAGTCACTTTTCCTTCTAAGTCGACATCCGCTGTTCCCCTGGTTTTCTCACTTTGCGCGCCTGCCTGCCTTTCCTTTCCTTTCCTTTCCTTTCCTTTCCTTTCCTTTCCTTTCCTTTCCTTTCCTTTCCTTTCCTTTCCTTTCCTTTCCTTTCCTTTCCTTTCCTTTCCCTTCCTCCCTTCCTTCCTTCCTTCCTTTTGACTCCCGCTCTCCTTCCCTTTCAGTTGCCTCCCTGCCAGCCCCCAACCCCTCCCCTCGGTCTTTCTGCTCTTGATACTAGTTCCTAACGTGCACCGAAAGACCAAAAAAATCCAATTAAAAACTGGAGGGGCAAGGACGGCCAAGGTTGGAAAAGCCCACTGCACTGTGACACTGGGTAAGTCCGGTCACACCACACTCACAGTGGCTTCAGGGACATAAGCAGGGGCACAGGCCAATCCAGGTGAGAGAGTAAATGGGAAGCGGGGCGTGGAAAGAACAGGTACTAAATGAATGAAAACAAACCGAATTCGACTCACATTGTTTCAAGGGCAGGTGCTTGCAGGCATTGGGTGTACAAAGATGGCTCAGGTCCCTCCCTCTAGGCCCTCAGGATTTGGGGGCAGACAGAACCCCAACATGACTACTGTGTGCCCCTCGGGTTACCAGCAGCCCGACGGACGGGTGACAAGCACAGAGGACAGGGCTGCTCACTCTGCTGTCGGTGCAGGACAAAACTTCATGGGGCAGCGGCACATTTAACCTGGGAGGTACCACTGACAGAGGCGTGCAGGCCTCAGCGGTCACTGGCTGAGGACACTGAGCGGGCATACTGGCCACAAATGAAAAGAACAAAGCCCTTCCCTCGGAAGCCTCACAAAACAGAATCACAGGGACAGGTGTGCAGTGAGCACCCTGAACACACATCAACTGAGTCATGCAGCTCAGCAGAGGAGAGGGGTTCTAGAAGGAATGAGTGCTCGTCATGCCAAAATCTTTATAGATGAGCAAGGAATTTTCCTTGGCAATCGGCTAAGAAGCAGTTAACTGTGTATCAGCGACAGGCAGAGGCAAGACTGGAGCAGGAGGCTGCGGAGTAGACTGAAGGTCTGAAAATTTTACATGTCATTTGCTCTGGCAGGGGCGGAGACAGTACCACACTGTTCGGTTCAGGTTGTCTCTAGGGTACGTCAAGGCCCTCGATGAAAGAGGGACAGAGTGCTCCCAGAGGCCCATGCCAGCGCCCCCTTAACTGGGAGCTGACGTGCCCGATATCCACAGCTCAAACCACACGAAGCCTCACGAATGCTGTTAAAAGCCCATCAGCAAATGCATTTAGAGAATCGTTAACTTCCACAGGATTTTGGTAACGGAGCAGCTTCGAGGATGCTCCCAGCCAGCCCGCACAGGCTCGCATCTCACAAACATGCACCCTTCCCGCGTGGGTTAGCAGGGACGACACTGAGCACGAGGCCCTCCGTCCCCCTGGCGAGGGGGCCCACCTGATTTGCCGTCCGTCCGGGGGTCCATGATGACGAACTCTGGCCGCAGCTTGCTGATGCGCCGGCCCTTGAGGATGGGCACGAGCCCGCCCAGGTACTCCAGGTAGAGCGTGTAGCATGGGCCGCCCACCTCCGGGTCGTCCTCTGTGCGCTTCATGGTGCAGTGCAGACGCTCGTTGCCGGCCGAGGGGTAGCTGACAAAGTCTCGCATGTTGTTGGGGTCTGGAATTGGGGGCTGGAGGCGGGACACGGAGAGAAAGGAGAGGCTGTGGCCATCACTGGTTGCTCTGACAGAGCACTGCCACTGTGCAGCACAGGACAGCGACTCACAACTCTGGGTGCACATCGGGATCTCCTGGGAGCTTTTAAAAAAGATCTAAGCCAGGATCCCTCCTCAGACAATGACAGGGAACTTCAGGGGGTGAGGGCTAGGCATGCGTATTTTCTAAAAACTCATCAGGGGATTTTAATGTGCAGCCAGGATTGAGAATCACCGGCACAGAAGCAAGATTGTAAAGCAACTTGAAGAAATCACAACAGATTCGGAAACTCTGACGTTTCAGGAAACAAGTAACCCGGCAGTCAATCTAATACCTAGAAGCAGAGAGACTACAAAAGAAGGGAATGCAGAGAAGAACCTAAGGTTGGGGGAAACCCACACCCCGAACAGCGCCCGGCACGTACATCCCACACACTGCCAGGGAAAACCTCCATTTTGAGCTAGAATCAGTATAAAGACGGCTGACAGCGAGTGTGGTGGGGGCCACCCCTCCTCCGCAGTGGTGGGGACTGCGGGCCCCAGGATTAAACTGGTTCAATCCTGACCGTTCCTGTAACTAGTTATAGAGCAAGGTACTCAACTTCTAGGAACACACTTCAGGCTTCCACAAGTGGGAATGATGGCATCTGCCAGGAAGTCAGGATTGAACGAGGCAGACTGGTCATCAAGATGACACAGCCACCGTGCTCGGAACACTGCTGTTGCTGTGAGAAAGCTGACGTCCATCACATGAGCGGACTCCCTTGCGGACAGCCGGGGTGGGGGACACAGGGGCAGTCAAGATGACACAGCCACCGTGCTCGGAACACTGCCGTTGCTGTGAGAAAGCTGACGTTGCTGTGAGAAAGCTGACGTCCGTCACATGAGCGGACTCCCTCGCGGACAGCGGGGGTGGGGGACACAGAGGCGGAGCTCTGCGGAGCTGCTGCCCTCACCACGCAGACTCTGCCGAGGGGCGGGCATGACTTCTGTGCACCTGCTCCAAGACCCTCGCCTCCCTTCCCTGTCTGCCCTGCCCCCACGCGGCCAGGAGGACGGGGGGGCTCTACCTTGATGGTGGGGATGAAGGCCGTGGAGAGGTAGGAGCAGAGGCGGGGGGGCAGGGTCAGCTTGCTGACGTCCTTGTCTTCTCGCAGGGCGCTGGCGATGGCCTGCTGGCACAGCAGCTGCAGGCTGGACACCCGGTGCTCCACGCGGACCACGTACAGAGCCGGTCCTGACGCCATCAGCAGCCTAGAGTCCCGGTGGCCCCAGCAGATGGAGATGATGGGGCGCTGGCAGGGAGTGAAGGCAGGCTATGCATCAGCTTTCCCTCTTGTAAGCAAAGAAAGATCACGCACGCTTGTCTCAAGCAAAATAAAGTGACCTAATAGTTTCTGAGACCATTGGTTTTAAAAAGTACAACAGAGATGGTTAAATGCCACATTATAAAAATGCAGTAAAAGTACAAGCCAGAGCACAAACAGCACTGAAATGGTTTTACGAAGTTCTTTTATAGGTATTGTCTCTTTAATTTGGTGCCATAAAACCTAACTTAGCTCTGTGTAATGACGTTTCTACCAGGAGATGCCACCTTACTAAAGCTCGGGTTATCTGGACTCCCGAATAACAGGTGCTGGTTCCCACAGCTTGGGCAGGTGGCGAGGAGGCAGAACAGATGGCCCTTCCCGTTTGTCCTGACAGGGAGCATTTCAGAGTCAAATCAACACTGGGTTTGGAGCAGCAGCTGTGTGACCTGGGGACTATTACATCACCCCTGCAGGTCTCCTATGCTGTCATGAGTAAAGTGGCAGCTGTGGGGACTGAAGGCGATGAAGGATGTCGAGTGCTCCGGGGACCCTTCGCAGGTCATAACCCAGACGTGACATCACTGCTATTCTCAGCCGTCCTGGAGCTGATGGGGCGGAGGAAGCAGAGAGCTATCTGGAAGGGCAGAGAGAGGGAAACAGGCTCTGTGGCGGCCTCCCTAGGGGGTTTGTGGCCATCATTTGCTTTGAAAAGGCCGGTGACATCCACATGTGCAAGTCAGAAACTACCTGTACTGGAAAAGCCCGAAGTTCCGGGATGCCGTCTAAGTCAGATCAGCCAAGGCGGAGGAGAAAGGGGTGGAGGGCTGTGATGGGAAGTGGCGACAACGTGTTCACTCCCATCTAGACAGATGGGGCTCTGATTTAATGAGGTCTTGAGGGGTTTCAAAGATCAGAAGTGAGATACCAGACCTTTTACACGAATGACAGATAGAAAGAGAATTTTCACAAGGCTTTAGTGACATACAGGAAGATAAAAGGAACACGTGAAGACACCTGCTTAATACTGCCTCTAGGGTCGGCTAATTCTGGTTTCAACTTCAAAACAAACTGCCAGGCTGAAGATAATTCGGCTTCTGTTTCCACCTCAGTGAGGCCAGGCAGCCCCTGGGGGAGGACTGGGGAAGCCTGGAACTCAAGTCTGGGGGTTCGCAGATGGGCCTCCTCACCCAAAGGTGCCACCCAGAGGGCAGGCCCAGTAGAGGGGCCTGGTGACTGAGAGCAAGGCTACGCACTGCTGAAGACACAAAAAATACACACAGAGTTTTCTTTGGTAACATCGAACCCCGCTAAGGGCAGGTCAGGACAGAGGTTCTATTAGAAGTGAAATCATGATTAATCTTAAAGATATACCGCAGCCCCAACCCTGAGCCTACGATAACATTTACAACGTAGAGCTCAAGAAATGAAGAATGGTTTTCAATTAGCACAACCTGACTGGATGGAACCGGCCGCAAAAATATTAGACACTTCTTTCCACCAAGTTCCCAGTCCTTCTGAGTCCCTCTAGGGACATGCCAGCGGTGACAGTGCAGGACTACGGCATTTCTCCCCCAGCCCCTGCCCCTTCCCCTAGTTCTGCTTCCTTTAGTAACTATGTAGCTCCGTGTAATAGTTGATTGCACATTCTGGGAAGGTCTTATATGCAATGATTATGACGAGCATGCATCTCTCGTATCTTTGTACAAACAAACTTAACCCAGGTATACAGACTTTCGAACTGGATAAAAGTCCTCTCTGTTACATGTACGTGTATAATCACTACCCATCACAACACAAAGAACTTAGCACACTAAGTTATCTCGATGAGCACATGCATTATCTCCTTTAATCCCCTTGACTCCATCACGTAGCTCTCCTTACTCCCCCTGAACATGGGAGGAACTGAGGCTGAGAGAGGCCGGCGAACTCGGTTAGACACAGTGGGGGAGCTAAGATCCCACCCACTGCTCCCTCAACTCCACGCTGATGCTCGTCTTATTGCCTCTCTGACGGGTCACTACACTGATACCACCTCATAAAGAATGTGTGATTTCCACTAAAAAACTGAACTGCCAATCACAAATATTAAGTAATGAACCCCAATTCTCCCCTCGGTTCTCTCCTTAACCCTTTTGGTGAAGGATATTTTTCTCAGAAGCAAACAGAACCACATGTCTGAGGAAAGGCAAACAGACCAGAGGAGAAGAAACAGGTTTCATGGATAGCACATGGATAATGACTGCAACGATTCACTCGGGCAGAAAAGAATCCACAGGTCATGCGGGCCCACAAGCAAAAGTCAGCCAGGCAGTACTGTCAGGTGAGCAGAAAACAGCAGCAGGAGGCACATGTCAACGGTGAGGGAGGACTGGCTGTGCTTCTCCACACTGGGCGCTGCACCCACGAGGAAAACAGAATTCTCAGCCAGGAGGAATGGAAGGGGTCGACAGGACTGAAAACTAGAACCTGGCAGGAAAGAGCTGGAATTCTTCAGCCTGGAGACGTGAGGCCTGCAGGGTCGCAAAGGACAGACTGCTACCTGGAGCAAGGTCACCAGGAAATCCCCTCTTCTAAGAGCGAGACGCGAATAGCGAGTAAAGCCATCTGGGGTGCAGCATCCACTTACTTGCCCAAGCCAGTGACAGCTTATTCCAGCACCGGGAGGAAGGGGAAATGCTCATTTAACTTAGTGTTTATAGCGTACGCTCCCTGTGTGACAATAAAGTATAAAATACGGGTACCTCTGGCACAATTTTTAAGGCTGTATTAGAAAAATAAGGAAACATTCACAAATAGTGAGGCCTGCCCCCCTTGTCTGAAGATTCCGAGGGCTCTCTGATGTGGGGAGATTGATTACTGTGGTGACTGTTGAGTCTGAGGCCTGGTGACAGGGCTAGTCTCTCAGAATCCCTTTAGGCCCGTAACCCCACAGACAGTCCTTCGTGTGGGGTTAGGGGACTAAAGTGAGTACAGTTAATCCGTTGTACTAAACACTTGCAAGTTGCTAAGAGAGTAGATCTTTCTCACCACAAAAAAGAAATGGTAATTATGTGACACGATGTGATGGAGGTGTTAGGTAGAACTACCTGTGGTAACTATGCTGCGACACAGAACTGTATCAAATCCACACAGTGTACACCTTACACTTAATGTTACATGTCAAGGGCGGGGGAGGGAGAGAGGGAGGGAAGGGGAAGGAAGAAGAGAATGGAAAATTCACACGCATGCAAATCCCTTCATCACATGGCACCGTACTCTTCTAAAGTCTCGTTCCTGCTGGTGCCCGTTTTCCGGTGCTGTTACCGGCACTCCAGCCTACAAAGGCCTGGCTACCAATGCTGGTGGAAATTCAAACCGGAGTCCGAGTGCCAGCGACTGCCCGTGCCGTGTCTGCAGACATGGGCTGTGGGGCTGTTACCAGCACCACGTCTTGACTTAGCTGCCCACATTCAGCAGTTTCTGCTGCCCCGTCCTCTGGGACCAGGGTCCGCGTGCCTGGGGCCCTCGCCCTCGGAGCGCTGTCCTCCTAAGGACGGCCGGCTCCGGCATCGGCTGCTGCCAATGAGAAAGGTACCGAGTGTTCAAGTCCCATAGACCTGGGGGCACTCAAGGGGACACAGGTCCATCTCTCCATTTCCCACAGGTTAATGCTTCTGTTTGAACAGCTGCTGTCTGCCAGGGGAAAACTCAGGTGTAAATCTGTGGACTTAATCTCTTTCTCAAATCACACAAAATGACATCTTTTTAGAAGCGATGGCTAGAACCGTGAAATTGATAATATTCAAAATCTTAATCTGCGTAGAAGAGTTCACGTATCTTATGCACTCAGATGGGAGGGAAAGGGGCAGGGAGTGAGCTGCCTGTCTAGGACTGTTAGTGAGGTGGCATCCAGCACGTTGGTGAGTGACGGGTTAGTGAGAGGCTTTACTTGGCCAGAGGCGTAAGTGGTCAACGCGCGGGCACGCCTGGGAGATACTGCGAGTTCGGGTCCAGACCACGGCAATAAAGCAATTTGGAATCCTTTGCTGCTGGAGGGTCTTTGCCTTGAACGTGCAAAAAACACCTCTATGAAGGTCAACAAAACGAGGGATGCCTGCATGGCCAAGGGGCCTCCCAGCATCTCCCCATCTCGATGGCCTGACCTGAGCCACTTAAAGGAGTGCAGGTGGCTTCGCTCAGAGGACTCCCTGCCGCAGCGTGACGCAGGGCAGTCGTCCCTGCTGGTCCCAACCCGACAGCACACGAAGACATGACCTCCACACTACACGATGCCATCCAATCGCTTACTCGTCTACTGAGCTGCCAATCAGTTGTTCAGTAAATACCTGTTAAATGTATATGGTGGGCCAGACTCTCGGTGTGAGGGGACCGACTGACACTGAAAAAGACCCGTTTCCCGCCCTCACGGAGCTGCCATTATGAGGTGGGGGCAGGGGGAGAAACCCCTCGGCATCTCCGCGCGGACTACTTGACCGTGAAACGCTGTGAAGCAGACGGAGCAGGACAAGGGGCGCGAGAAAGGGCAAGGGGGTCGTTTCAGACAGAGGCGGCAGCTTCCGCAGAGGCCCGACCAAGTTGAAGGACTGACTTTTACTTGGAACCGAAAGCTTCCTCACTACATTACTACTTCTGTACACAGCAGGGAGTTGGATGGAGTCTTCTAAAAACTTAGGAGAAGTAAAAAGCAGGGTGTCCTTTCCGTATAGAAGACGAGCTCTTCAAGCAGGATTAGGGTCAACAGACGACAAAAGGGTCAAAGGGAGAGAAAACTGGCCCAAGAAAGAGAAAGCGAGGCCAGCCAAGCTCACAGCTTCTGCCGCGGGGCCCCAGGCCGAGGACTGGCTACCGGGCCACTGAGGAGTCTTATCGCTGTGCGGGGCACCACGGCCACCCCTCCTTTCCGCAGCTCCCCATGAGGACGGTGGGGTCTCTGTCGTAGAGGAAACGCACTTCAACCACCCCTGGTAGAAGGGGATATTTAATTTGTACAAGCTTGTGCAAAGAAGGAAAGCTTTCTAAAAAAAAAAACTTTCTTTTCATTCTTAAACAGACTAAGCTGGTGACTGGTCACCAACAAATTGTGTTGGCTGGAGCCATGGACAGTTTTGAACATTGAGTTACAGTGATTTGGCCACCGACTAAGTTACAATAATAAAATCTAGCTCAGGATTCAGTCGCTCGAATTTCAGTTTTGCAAGAACACACCATTTTGCATTTTGCAAGCAGATAACTCAGGAAGGACTTTCTCATCTATTTACAACGAACGATGGGAAAAGCACAGCTGTGGCGGCCTCCTGAGAACAGGCAGGGTTAACCCCCGACAGACGGAGGCAAATGTATTTCTGCTGAAAGATCCTCCTTGAAGGACGTGGAAGGAGGGTAAAAGCAAGGCCCATAAAGCAATCTTCCCTTTGATTTTCGGTTCCCGCACCTACCTTCTTCCTCTTCCTTCTCTCAGCTTTTTACCCAAATATTTTACATCAGTAAGTGAACCTTATAGAATGGAAGGTGACTGCTCCCACTTGTCTTTAATGCAAAAAAAAGTTCATAAAGCTAAAACAAAACAAGCCAGCCAGCTAACCAATCAACAACCCAGACCCGAGTTGCTGGAACCTGCGAACTCGTCAGCACTATGACCTCCGGAGGTCTGCTGTCAGATTACAGACGTGCAATTCTATACAGATGGTCACTGATCACAGCTGATGAGGTAAGTTACAGGATTTAAAATTATAGCAGGTAGGAAGGACAGGAACATAAACTACAGTCCATTTCCTTATAAGACCTCCAGCCACAGGCACAGCTATTATGAGTAAATTGGGAGAATCAATTTTAAAGCTCAGGCTGCCGCAAGTTTGCGCCGGGCAACGGCTTTGTATGCAATAACCTACAATCTAATTAACTTGAAAATAAATTATCCAATCTAAGCTACATTAAATTCTTTTTATAAACAGTTCAATAAATCGCCTAACTTCCTTCCTGCTATAAAAACGTCCCTGCCGTTGGACTCCTTGAACAGCACAGCGTGGATGACATGTGACTGTAGAACCACTCCAGACCGGGTTAAGTTGGTGCTACGTATAATTAATATTGCCCTTGATTTTTAATAGCATCATTATTTAACTTTATATTTTTGAGGCAATTCTTTTCAGTGATTGAAATGGATCTTCAAATGAAGAAAAAAAGAATCAATAATAAATTAAAATGTGAGACATTGTATGGCTATTTTTCCCCAAAGGAAAATCGGCCAAACTCCTCTCTTATCCCTGAGCCCCAGGTAGTTTAAATTCAAGACCCATGTTACTTTCATGTGACAGCTGATGAGAACTTCTGCAATGGTTAAGGCCACCAAGCCTCTTATATTCTAGGCACAGCGAAGATCAGCAGAATGAAGAAAATGTGGTCTTTGGTGTCAAGAAAATCAGACAAGTAGAGAAGTGTAACAGATGCCAGAGGTATGAAGCACCCTGAGGTTCATAGAGAAGCAGCATCAAAATCACCAGGCATGTCTGGAAGAGGATGTGACTGATCTGGCCTTCACAAAGAGGATGGATGTCCCCAGGCCGAGATGGCAGGAAGGACACTTCCTGGAGCGGGAACAGAATGCTGCCAGGAACGGTGCCCCGAGTCAGACAGAACGGTGGGCAATGCTCAACGTACCTGAGTGTTTAATTCACAAATACTCTAATAAACACAAAGGCCTTCTTAACTCAGAAAGAGGCGAAAATTCCCATCCTCTCCTTCTTGTCTTCCAGTTAGGCTAGGGATACAAAGGTGGCATGAGATTTGACTGGGAAAGGCACACAGCCTTCCAGTTCAAAAACCAACAGGAAGGACTAAAGAAAGCATGTGTTGATAACTGTCCTTCCATCGATCCACTGGACACGTGTTTACTGAGCACCTACTATGTTCCAGGCAAGACACTGGCAGTCGGGCCACCACTGTAAACAAGGCAACCTGTCCTTCAGTCCCAAATCTGCAGGGACTCCGATATCGATGCTTATTTTGCCCCACACCTTGGCCTCACGCCGATGGCCTCAACCTGATTTGTTTCATCGCTCTTTTTGTTTTAGCTCTGATTTGTTTTAGCCCTTCCCTGGTTTGTTTCGTCGCCCACAACTCTTTCACTTCTAAAACAGGAATCTGAATTTCCTATGCAACCACAACTTCCCAGCCCGTTTTTAACACTTCCTCCTGCACATGCCTCATCATGACTCCCCACTTCCCCCGCCTCAGGTCATAGAGCAGCTACCCACCTAGACCGCATGGCTGCCCGTTCCCATAACATCCCTAATAGTTCCCTAAACTCCTTCTGTTTGTCATTTATTTATTTTTGTCTTTTGGCTGCATTAATCGTTCCCATTCCCAACGTTAGGCAATCTGTACCGCCTCCGCCTCTGGTGCCTGCAGAGCGGGCATGGACAGCACTGACTCACTCTAATCACACTATCCAGCTTTGGCTGGGACTTAATTTCTGCTTATTACCTCGAATGGCTCCTGTGTCCTGTTCCTATACACTAGTGCTTAGAGCTCAGCGCCAGCCACACAATATGTTTGCTGGGTACTTGAACAAGTGTTTATTCGCCCACAGAAGATGCTGCATTGTCAAAAGATATATTTAAACCCTGTAACTCAACAACAAAAAATCAAATAATCTAATTAAGAAGTTGGAAAGGGTCTCAAATAGACATTTCTCCAAAGAAGCAGAAATAGCTGGCCGACAAGCACATGAAAAGATGCTCGACATAACTAATCATCAGGAAAATACAAATCAAAACCACGATGAGATACCACCTCACACCCATCAAGACAGCTACTATCAAAAAACCAGAAAATAACCAGGGCTGGCGAGCACGGGGGAAAGATGAGACCCTGAGCACTGCTGGAGGGAATGTAAAATGGGGCAGCTGCCGTGAAAAACAGTACGGCCGTTCCTCAGAAAATCGGAAATAGAACTACCATATGATCCAGCAAATCTACTTCTGGGTATTTATCCAAAAGAACTGAGAGTAGTGTTTCAAACAGATATTTGTATATCCCTGGTCACAGCAGCCCTATCCGTGATAGCTAAGGGTGGAAGGAACCCAAATGTCCGTTGATGGATGAATGGACAAAATGTGATATATCTGTATCTACAGCTTGCTCGCTTTCATGTGCATGCTCTCTCTCTCTCCCCCACATCTATCGATCAATTGATCTATAAGATGGCATATTATTCAGCCTTAAAAAGGAAGGAAATTCTGACATGCTACGATGTGGATGAACTTTGAAGACATGATGCTAAGTGAAATAAGCCAATCGCAAAAAGACAAACACTATATGGTTCCACCTATATGAGGTATGTAGAATAGTCAAATTCATAGAAACGGAATGGCATAGAGTTTCAGTTGTACAATATGAAAAGGTACTGGAGATTGGTTACAACGCAATGGGATACGCTTAACATTACTGAGCTTACACTTAAAAATGGTTAAGATGATAAATTTTGTTGTGTGTCTTAACCACATTAAAAAAGGATATATTTAAATAATTAATGTCTGCATCTAATTACCAATTACCCCAAATCTGGTATACCTGCCTCTGATGAGCTGGGTAAGATTAGGACACAAGTCTCTAGTTTATCATCACCCCCATCAATTATCAACTCACTCGCAGCCTTGTCTCTGCCACCCCGCTGAGAATTTTGTCCTCCACTATGACTGACCCAGACCAGAAATGAACTAGTCTAAAGATTTCTAGGACATTTCTCCAAAGAAGCAGAAAGGGGCCCGCCTATGCATGCTTTCTTAAAGATCTTTAAGGTTTTTAAACTTATCGTTTAACAATCACTTAGCTGAAATACAGAAGTATTTGTATGACTGGCATCACAAACATAATGTCAGAGAGAGTAAAGGAAGATTCGGCCTTCCCTCCTGCAAGTTTCTGACTTTTGCTTCAGACCGACGATAAACACCAGATCCCTCTGCTTACTGATCACTCACTTGACAGGACAATGGAATAAAGTGTTTTGGTTAAAAGGCAAAAAAGTGTCTTTCTCCCCATTCCTTCTGGTTTATGCTCCATAATTTAATTAAGTCCACAAGGATTGGACTCTGTCAGAGTATAACCCACTCACGAGTATTTAATGGAACGGGGCATGCGAACACAGGGCGCCCAGTGAGTGCCTCACACACGCCCTTACTTGCACAAGTGTGTCCAGCGTGAAGATGTGCTCCCCTCGGACGTTGTAGAACTTGACCATGGCACTCTTCAGGAGCGGGCCATTGGGAAGGTCATTGAGCTGGGTTTGCCATTCCATACCAGCGACTGCCAGGAGGTCTCCCTGCGTGCACCACTGGGCCACCACCTCTGAAATCACAAAGGAAAAATGGTCAGCCTGAAGATGTGACTCCCCTCTCCGAACTTTCCCTTAAGTAGTTTAAAAAATCGAGACACAGAGCAAATACAATGGTGGCTCTTCCCCTTTCTCTCATGAAGACATCAGCTCCCCATTTCTCTGAAGACAACACGTACTATTAAAAACAGGCGTTTATTACATAGAAAGGAGTTGCCGTTCCCCCAAAACGTAACTAAATCAGGCAAAACCACATATGACAAAGCTGGCTGGTAAATACCTGTCTCCAATACCAGCATTCCATACTGGGGCTCACACAACTCTGAGAGAGCAGATAAGATGATAAAACCTTTGTACGTCCCAAGTGCTTTTTCCACTGCTGTGCCCGCTGTCCCAGAGGTAACTTAGAGGTCATAAATGCTAAAAGTAAAAAGTAAATCAAGAGCAAAGCCTAAGTTTGTGCTCATTTGATTTCTGTGCACCACTGGACAGGTAATGCATAGGTAAAGGACATATCTGCACCTAAATATCTGCCCTGACCTTCATCCAACATTTGATGATGTTGTGCAGCTTAGGAAAGAAGATAAAACTTCTGTTAGGTGGTAGCGTTGTGTCCACACTGGAGATGCAATGCCACCTACAGCCAGTCAGTGCCTGTAAGAAAAGGCTATCAATTGTATTAGTCCTAATAAGATTTACAGCATAGTTTTTCTCCCTCAAAACCCTAAGACCATATGTGGCTTATACAGAGAGATCCCTGAAATCTGGAACTCAGTGGCTCATTCTGCAGAGGCCGGACAGGAATGCATTTCAGAGCTAGGTCTAGAATTTGACAGCTCTTGAGCGCTATCAAGTCCCACGTGACCACAGCACCCCTTATTCCCGTGCAGTACTGATGCTGACATTAACACCAGCCATGCTGAGGTCACCAAGTTCTTAACTTCCTTTGAAGACGAGACCGTGGCCCCGGCGACGAGATGGCTCTCCAGCCACAGGGAAGCCGGAGCTTGCTCATCAAGTCAACCACAGACAGGAACTAGAGAGACGGGGGAGCAGAGGGCTGAGTGGAAGTAGTTAGAGACAAACACGAAATGAAAAGCTCTATAACCTGAGATAGTGAAAGCATCAATAAAAAGGAGTTTTTTCCTTTTTTCTTATGAACGCATATGAATAAGGTTGAGTACAAACCAGGAAATGAAAAATAAGGCTTAAATGCATATCCTGGTCAGTTAGATTTTTATAAAGAAGCTAGAGGATGTGTATACACATCGAGTGTGCTCTGGATACCTGACGCCTTATCACTTTGGGAAGAGCCCGGTCATGCTAACGAAACCATAATGACTTTCTCTGGATGGCACCTTTGGAACCACAGAGGAAGTCAAAAGGAGGAGCAACTAACACTAACAGGTAAAAACAACAAAAAAATGGAGTCTACTGCTGTTTAGGGCAGAAATATCATTGCACTACTGCAGAAATGAAGATGACAGCTCAACTCCCAAGGATCCCCAGCGGGCCTGCTTGGCCAACGGGTAAGTGAATACCTGTCTGCTTGTTCGATTGACTGATTTAACTTAGATTCTTTGAATTTTGTCACAAGGTGGTTTTTCTCAACAGAAAAGTGGGTTATTGGCCCTGCAGGGCTGGCTTAGACACACGATCATTCAGAGGCTGCTCAGAGATGGGCCCTGAGCACTCAGGGGGGTTCTGTTTCCTAGATGAGCACTCCCTGAGTTAAGCAAGAACCCAAGCATTTACAAGCAAACACTCAGGGATGTCTTTAATGCAGGTGAGGAACAGCATGAAAAGATAAAATGGAGTCACTATGGCCAAGTGGCTAGGGATGAGGAAATGGTTCTGTTCTCACTTTAACTAGGCTGGGAACTTACACTTTTCACCTCTCCAGTCCTGCATCACTGCCTGGACACATGTCAGACCCTCAGATGACCATCTGAATGACCTCAGGAAGAAGCGTTCGCTTGTCCAGCCCACTGGACATCTGAAGATTAGCATCTTGGACCAAGCCAGGGGCTAAGAATACAGGACTAATTCTTCTCAAGAATCTACTTAGCTTTTCTTTCTCCCGCCTAAAAACAGGACAATTTGTAAATGTGTACCACCCCCACCAGAAAAGACATAAATTAATCACTGGAGACAACTTTAGACCCTTATTTGCCAAAATGGCACCAAAAGAATCTACATAACAAGTGTCACCAAATGGCCTTTAACTTCCGTTAGTTCCCCCATGTATTTCCCTTCAATTTGCTGCCTCTAAAAACGGTGCTGTCCTTTTGTTAACATGCTACATAAACCCAAGTTCTCAGCTCCACTCCCCTACCTGTGAGTTACTCATTTCTGAGTGCTTCCGTGGTAAGCATAACACATGTGTTAATATAGCTGTTTGTTCCTCTCTTGTCAATCTGTCTGTCTCCTGTCGGTCTAATTTACAAGGCCCCAGTAAGAGAATGTCAGATGGGTGGAGGGAAAAGTCTTTCCTCCCCTACATCCTCGAGAAAGAGTAAAAGTCACAACAAAGGGTAAAAACTCTAAATAAAGTGAACCAATTGACCATTAATTGTATGATAAAAAGAAGTCTCCAAATTTGGGATTCTCAGATTTTTCGTCAAGGAGAACTTATTCAGAAAACATCTGCAAAGCAAACCAACCTCTCCACCCCCCAACATACAAATCTGCACAGACAACGAAGTTTGACAGGTGGTGGGGAAGAGGTCTGGTCACAAGGACTGTAAGCTAAATGACATTCTAGGTTCTTTCGCATAGGACACGAATTACGGTGTTGATGATAAACTGAAGAATATCACGAGTCTCCTTTTTTCACTAGAAAAGTTCTCTGATGATACTTCTCTGACCCAGTGACTGAGAAAGACTAAGTGGATCACGCAGGATAGGAGTCAGGATAAAACTCGAGTCAAAAACTGTCCCATCTGGGAGGACTCCTTTGGGTCATCTCCCCCGCCAGCAGTCTGCGCTCATCCCCTGCTGCAGACTTGGTGGGACTGCGTCAGCGTGCTGCCCCAGTGCAACCCAGTCTGGCAGGGGACAAAGTAATACCGCCGAGGAACAAAACACAGCTCCACGGGAGGGTGAGGCAACGAAAAATTAGAAAAACTCACCCCATAAAGAATAAAAAGGAACTAAGTGCTAATTGTATTCTTTTCAGGCCTAATCAGATATTTAGTAGAGAACTTAGTTCAGGATTCCAGAACTAGAGTTAGGTTCTGATGAAATTAAAAACCTTGGTTAAAAGATTTGAAGATAGAATTTTTGAAGGAAAAAAGTAGAGCCTGGATTATTAAATATATGGCAAATTTATGATACCCATCCCTATATTTTAGCTCCACTAAAGGCAGAAAATTCAGAAAAATCCCAAGGAATTTAAGTTCATTGCCACAAAAAATACTCACTCAGCTCCTAACAGGGCCCATTTGCGGCGTAATGAAGGACTGCTACATAGTTCTTGTCCCTCAGGAGTTTACAGGCTAAGTAATGCCTTCCAATTATCGCTCTGAAACAGCAAAATGGGACACCCAAGGAGGGAGTATAACTTGCTTCTAAACACATTCTCTAATTTTATAATAGAATTAATAAGTGCTTCATGCGGTGGGAGGGGGGGGGCACGTATGATGTATTCCAGGCGATCAGCAATTTGACATATAGGCTTGATTATCTATTTCCCTGTGACTCCTGAATAATTCAGCACATGGCCACGACTCTGGTCTGATGGCCAGCTCTGAATGACAGCAGCAAGTTAAACCGAAGGCTCTGGCATGTCCCTCCCCCATTCAGGTTACAGTGGGCTCCCTAACACTGAGGACCAGAGGGAGCCTAGGATTTTGTGCATTGTACCATCTGACTGAGGAGACAATTGTTTTTCAAAAAAACTCATCAGGTCGCATCACCGGTAGTATTCTCAAACTGCAAAACTCAGGTCGCCCCACATGCCTATGGACATGGATTTTCCTGAGAGAGCAGCATTTCACGATGTATCAGGAAGGTACCAGTGCCTGACTAGGCAGTTAGCTGACCTTCGCATCCATGCCTCGGTCTGGCAACTGTGGAGCCTCCGTAAATCTGTTCAGGTCACGGTACTACGCAATAATTAGTTCCTTGATAAGCCTTAAAATGACAGAGCGTCCGTGTAAATATGTCTTGGGCATTGTCTGCTGCCTCAAGAACACCAGGTACTGCCTGCTACCCACTACTGTGAGGACACCGTGTCCACTGGGACAAACGCTCTGTGTGTCTGAGAGAGGGCCACTCTTGCCGCAGGGGGAGAGCAGTGAAGCTGGCAGAAATCCCTCCACTGGGCGAGACTCGGAGGCGGCTCGCCAGATTAGCAGAGGAGCGAACGTAAGTGGCCCTTACCACCAGACTCCGTTAAGCCCGGAGGTCACTGCAGAGGCTGGAATCGTCAAGTGCTGGGTGTGTGACACCCGGCCTGGAAGGCTGACCTGTAGGCCTGGGGTCACATGCAGCCTTCCGTACCTTTCAGCCCTGAGCGGATGACAGTAGGAGACAAGTCATCGTAGTTGTTCATTAAGCTGATGTCCCCCGAGGTGAAGCTGACGGTGAGCAGTGGCTTGATGTTTTGCACCGGGATGGGATATGCTGCTGGACCATCTGTGGGTACAGAAATGTTGACTGAAAAAGTGGCAATGAGCACATGACCTAAATCCAGGTCCCCAACGCTGCAGCCTTGCAGAGCGCACTGCAAACTGCCTGGGAATGCAGCTCGCACTCGGGGCTGGGGCGCTACCGAGCAAGGCAACGTCCCATACCACTCAGGACTCCACAGGCCAGTGTGGGGCGGCGCGCGCCACCAGAGAACCCTGGAATGAGAGGCAGGATGAGGACAGACACGCAGTGGGGGTCCTTGGGCTCTGCTGTGCGGTGGTGAAAATGTGTGTGAAAAGTTTATTAACCTGTGTGCTAATGTGTTATATATTTCTAGTGATGTGTAAACGTAAATTACTGGAATGTCATATAACATATAAGGATGGCGGGAAAAGGAATGAACATGTTTTCTTAATCCTGCTCCAAAATACAGAGGAAAATTGCTTTTCAACCCTAAGTGCTCTTTTATTGAATGTTCTAGGACACGAGCAGCCATGGCAGCCACCATGAGTGCTTTGTTAAGTTTTTACCACAAGAGACCCCAAATCTGAGAGAAGGTTGAGGCTGGGTGTGGCTCATAGAGAATTCCGCTACATCCGCAGTGCGGTCAGCATAAGGAAAACCCTGCTTCGTAACTTCCAGGAGTACTCACTGGGCGTTAAGAAAGGAGCTATGACGAACCACATTCTGGATTCTTCCATGTGTTATTTCAAGAAGTAAATGCCAGTTCCTCTCCCGGGCCAGGGTAGGTCAGGACTCTCTCAAATGGCTCCCCTGGGCGTCGCACCCACGCCACGCTCATCCCTGGCAGCCATCCAGGTGGGCTGCCTGGCATCCGCGCTCGGCTCACGCCGAGGCAGTCCCGCTCACAGGGGGTCCCCAGTCATCGCTCTCCCTTGCTTCACCCAAAGATGCTGCAGGCGCCTGCCTCTGCACTCAAACTCCTCTGGCCACCAGGAAAGGCCTGCTCTGTCTGAAAGGCACATCCCTTGTCACCCCAAATAGCCCCATTGCTCCTGAGAGGGGCAGCTGGTCAGAGCAGCAGCAGGCACTGAATTCTGTCCCTAGACCTATCTGGACTTGCTGCATAACCACGGTCTCTGAATCTTCTTTCTTCCAATGCCGAGTGGGGAAGAGTAAACCTGCATCCAGTCTAGTCGAGTTCTTTGTAAAAGTGTGCTGGCCCAATGTTTTAAGATGCGGACTTTCATTACCACGAGGCTAAAGACACGATCAACACTTCACTCGAGACTGGGTCCCACTTGAAAAAGGCCTGGTCACGCCAAGGGGACCTGTGGGCTGAGGCCTCTCTCGGGAAGCATGACCTCTGCCCCGCAAACCCCCCCACCCCCGGCCCTGCCGGGCAGCCGGCTACCTTGGGGCGGGGCGTAGTCATCCGAGTCGGTGTCGCTCTCGCTGCTGTCCTCCACCAGGAAGGCGGGGTAGTTCCAGGACATGCCGAGGACGCCATCGGCCTCGTGCAGCAGGACGTGGGCCAGCATCCTACCATGGCAGTCCATGACGATCACCTGCCCATCGGCCGTGCCGAACAGCACCTGCAAGCGAGGACAAGGACCACGACGGTCAGGCAGGAAGGGCCGCGGCTGGCGGCAACCCTCATCACGTCAACTTGTTTAGAAGGACGACACGTATTTAGAATTAAATACACAGACCAGGTAAGGAACTGAGGGGGTGTGCAAAGCGTTAAGTAGTAATTTAGCTGGTCGTTATGGCAAGAATTTTAGTCCTCTAATACTGAAATCTGATTAACGGCACAATAAATATATTCATTATGTTGTCTGGACATTTCAAATAACACCAGCAAAATCAGTTTCACTTTTTGTGGACTGTTTTTGCTTTCTTGTTTTTTTTTTTGGTGGGGGGTGTGGAGGTGGAGGGTTAAGAAGAGGATAATATTCATTTATTTTTCTGGAAAATAAAGAAGTAGCAGAGGTTTGTTGTTAGGAATTTCTCAAATTTAGAAAGAAAACTTAGGTGTATGTTAGAATAAATCAATTGTCCGTGTATGTTTCAAGAGAAAACACATGTTTCATATTTGGAAAAGAAGATGCTCCTGAAACAGGTTGTCTAATGTTTTCACTGTGAATAAGAATGGTACTAATGTATGAATCAATAATTAATGTTACAATGTATTAATGGAATTAATATATTCATTGAGTGCTGCTTTGTGCTAAGCACTATACTAAAAGCTTTTTACTTCATTATCTGTCAAAATAATCCTAAGTACTGACATTGCTGTAATGACACTTGGATAGGCTGAGGCCTGGGTGTGCTGCGGGCTGTCCCTCGGGAATCCCCCTCACGCCCCCAGTCTGGGAGCTCACACGGAGGACTGCGCCACGGGTCGTGGATGGGCACATGGTGGACATGGCGGAGCTAGCGCATAGGCAGGGCAGAGGAAGGCTGGCTGGGGGTGACCCCTCCATCAGAGCAGCACGGGAGCATCTTGCAGCTGCTGGAAGCTCCCTGACAAGCGACATCTTCTAGACGGATGTCCCCGAGGGGAACCTTGGGGCCCGGGGAGCAGGACCTCCACAGGGATCACGGCTGTGTTACCTTCTGCTTCGGGTAGTGGGCCCTGCAGTCTCTGCATCTGCTGCCATTAAAACTTTCCATCTTTTGTGTCTAATGAGATTTGTCTCCCCCTGAGCAACTCGCTGTGACAACCCAGCAAACTGTTTCCATTTCACCGAAGGTCAAATAAGCTGACAGAGCCGTTAAGTGGTCAAGCCAGGGCCATCCAAGCAGAAAGGCCAGTATTTACACAAGGGGAAAGTTATTTAAGGCTGCTTACATCTTTGCTTCTTTTTGCTTTTAAGATTTTGACACTAATTTTTGGGCACATACTGTCCACGGCTGTACTGCTGGCACCTCAAAAAGCCTCGGGTACAGTGGCCACACAGTATTTGTTGTTCAATGAATGAATTAAAGTCGGTGACAATCAAAAGGCAACTTTAGGACATAAATGCTCATGATTAAGAGAGATCAACTGCAAGGGAAATATATTTCATTTGAATAATAATAAGCTCACAGAATTTACAGAGCTGTTAGAATTAATCGATGTGCATCAAAAATTTCTTTAAACACGATCTACATTTTAATGACTGTAAACAAAAAAAAGGGGGTGGGGCTAGAACAGTTTCCCTGCCCAGGGATGGTGATGAATTTATTGGTGCATGCCACTTAAAGGAAAAACAGACAAAACTAACAGAATCACAATGAAAATCATTTTACAAAAAGTGGAGTTTGGGGCTGTCAACGGAGAAAGTAAGCACGCACGTCACGTCCACGAACAGCTCAAGGACACAGGCGGAGGAACGCAGACCCCGGAGCGGGTCTGACCTGCTGAAGCCCTGGAAAGGCAGATGCTGAATGTGTTGGTAAGCAGTTTCAAACGATGATAAATACGGAACATGACTTCCAGTAACTTTAACCGAAATGTACAATTTACATACTTCAGAAGAAAAAGATGTGTCAGAACTGCACTGTAAAGTGAATGTCCTGGGTGACAGCCCCAGGAGGCAGGCTTTCCCCCTTGCCACATCTGCACTCGTCTGTTCAGTATGTTCTGAAGAGCGGCTCTGTACCCTGGTGCTGGCTGAGGAGCCACTTTATCGCACACGATTTTTTATTTTTAATACCGATAGCTCATTAGCAGGCGACGGCAAACGATTCTTCTTCATGAGGACTCCAGATTAACATACATCGATCCCAACAAGTTCCCTGGCCCCTCTTGCTGTGGGTTCTCACGTCACCCCACATCTCCCACTGCTGCAAGCATCACGACTCTCTATCTTTACCATGTGATTATCTGATTTCTGTCTGACTCCCACACTAGGCTGTAAGCTTTTGAGGACTGGACCATGTCTGCTCTGCTTGCCACATCCCCCCAGGGCTGCCACATTAGATGACACAAGGCAGGAAGCATCTGTGACAGGAGGGAGGAAAGGTCTCTGCACTGAAGTCTTTTGAATAACACTCACATTTTTCCATTTTAGAGAAACAGATACCAGACAACAGAACAGACACCTAACTTCCGAATAAAGGACCAGTGACATAACGCATTATCGGTGCTCGATAACGCACGAAAGCAAAAAGAAGAAAAAATCAGCCCCAAGCTGCCCCTGCCCCCAGTCAGTTCCAGCCACAGCTCTCGTGGGAAGACAACGCACTTTTAAGATGGGAGAGAGGGGAAAGAGCAGCACTAACAGTCTAGTTGTCAAGCGATGATGGAGGAAGTTACTCTGTTCTGGAACAAGTACGTCACAGATAACTGCAGAACACTGATACAACATGAAATCAGATTTTTAAAAATCTCTGTTACGAGTTCTTTTCATGCCTAATTACTTCCAATGAGATAAGGCTTATGCGAGCCAAGGACTTCAAGAGAACAAGACAGAAAAGTCTAATAATAATGAATACTCGCACCGGCAAATGCATCAATCTCTGCCTCTTCTACTCCCTAATTCTGGTGCTCCAGGTACACTGGTGCCAGCTCCTCCTCCCTGGGCAGTCTCCTCATCTAGGCTTGGCCCTAGGCCCTCTTCTCTCTCTAGGAGATCACAGTTATGTCCATGGCTTCGAGGACCCCACTCAGGCTAGCTCCTCACCCAGGTCTCTCCTTGAGCTCTGGACTCACACATCCAGCTATACCCCTGGATATGTCAAAGGACCTTCAGAGTCAGCGTGGCGCAGATGAAATGCATGATCTCGTCCCTCCCTCGACCAACACACACACACCCAGGTCTTCTCCCAGCAAAGACTGTGGCTTGTCTTTTATCCCATGTCCAGTACGGTGTCTGATACATAACAAGCGCTCAGACACCATGTGTGAAAGCTTTTGGGACCCGCCCCAAGGAATTAATGTCGCTTCAACCACAGACCCTATAGCACTCAGAACTTCACTGTTTTGCATGTCCGTCTTTCCCATTCAATCATGAGCTTCTCGAGGGCGAGTCTGCACCCAATGTTCTCACATGCTGCCTGTCACGACTGGATGCTTGGTGACTGTTAGCAAAGGAGTTTCTGCCCAAAGCTTTGGCCTTTGCCCAAGCTTTCCTACAGAGGCAGAACTTTAATTTTGTCTTTAAGCCATAAACCAATGCTTAAATACTCCCACAAAATTGGCCTCCAAAACACTTTCACAATTCCATATTTTTCCTGTTGTTTCTTCTGTTGGGCTGCAGGCTTTGTGTATGGGTGAGGGACAAGGCCCTCTGTGACGTGGACACAAAGGACCAAAGCAGCTGGCAGAAACCCAAGGGTCCTCAGGCCAAACCAGTTCAAGGGCTGTCTCTCCCTGATGGGCCTTTTTAACAACAATGGAATTTTGAAATAATTATGATATCCATATATAATCTCTTCATTTCCATGTATTCCATTCAAAACTTTTTAATTGTAATTATTCTAAAACATAACACAATTATTACCAGTAATTTAAAACGAACCAAGCCATAAACCAAAGGGGGTAGGACGAGGATATAAAATCATTCAAAATTTATGTTTTGAAAGCGGTGATGCTATCTCATCAGTATCTTCATCTTTGGACACTGGTACCCAACTAAATTCTTGAATGAAGACTAGATTTCAGCGGTGAAAATGCATGCTTCTATAAATGCTCACCTCTCTTGTGGTAGAGTTTAACTAGCAGTACTGCAACTGGTTCCAGAGGAACTGACTGTTTCCCCACTTGCTTTTGTGACTTAAAGCTGAGGGAGCAGATAAAGTGATTACGAATTTTTGCTGAGCAACCTTGTCCCACTGGTGGCAAACGCCTAAATGTGCCGCTGACGACAGGAATGAAGGGACAAACTGCAATGTCCCTTTGCTCTTTATCAGGAAACTTTTGTTCTGAGATGTCACTGAAGTAAAACTTTTTTTTTTCGTTAAAGACTGTTGGGTTTTATAACACTAGCCTTAGAATGCACTTCAAGGACAGATTTGAATATTTTGCCACTAAAGAAATAGAGCCACTAAAATCAGAAAGATAGTTGTAGATGAAAGAATTGTTCAACTGATTAACAGACTATTTTCTTTTTTTTTTTAATTTTTATTATTTATTATTATTTATGCCTACAGCACCTGGTCTTTCTAGGTGGTCTCCCAATCCAAGTACTGACCAGGCCCGACCCTGCTTAGCTTCCGAGATCAGACATCGGGCTTGTTCAGGGTGGCATGGCCATAGACCATGGACTGTGGCTCCACTGGGGCGCGAACCCAGGATCTTCTGCGTATAAAGCAGATGTGCTAACTGCTACACTATGGAACCGCGTCCAACAGACTATTTTCTGGTTTAAAAAAAAAGAATTGATTTCATAGTTAACTGTAACAATCATGTCTAAAACAGATACTTTAAAGCTTATTGTGACAAATGTGAGAAAGACATCTCGCCCAAAATATCTATAATAAACAATTTATACCTTTGGCTAAACATATAATTCTAAATTTGTTTCATCTCTTCACGGCAGAAAAAACTGCTTATAAACTAACCCATAAAGATGAGAGACTATCCTATGTCTAAAGGTTTTCAGAGGAG